GACCTCGGCTCTATTGCATCTCATCTCAGGCCTGGCCGGCGAGCCTGGGGCCCATTTTGTGGTCACATTCAGATTGGGGAACAGCCCTGCCCACCCTCAGGGAGGCTATCCTATGGTCTCCAGCCAAGCCTTGGTGTACTTCCCAGAGTGGCACATGTTACCTTCTGGTGCACCAGGCGGGCCCCTGAGCATCACAGGGGATCAAGAGGGACAGTCGTCCCTGTCATTTGGTGATGACCTGCATAAGATGCAGCCTCTGCCGCATGAGAAGCTCAGGGTCTAGGGAGGGAGGCAGATCCGTAAATTAATGAATGCAGACAGGGCTCTGTGGATGACGCTTCGACGAGGGGAGGCCTCCCAGCAGAGAGGGGCGTGTGGCTCCCTCGGCTTGGAGGCATCGAGTAACAGTCATAACAAACACTCATAGAGCCCATACTGGGTGCTCTAATGAGCTTCCAACCAGGGAAGCTCATTACAGACTCAGTGCCCAGGGTTTTTATCGGGGGCTGGTCACACGGACACCTCCTGCCTGGCAAGTTCCCAAAATCCAGACTCCCAGAAGGAAAGCAGGTGTTCAGCATAAACCATATTGTTTTTGTAAATAGTCTAGGCTCAGTGAGTCAGCCCATCTCATTAGTCAGTGGTGGGAACCCTCCTGAAACCTAAGTTCCCAGACACCAGCCAAGGGCCAACCTGATAAGAGAGCAGTCAGGACGGCTGTCTTATCTCTTCCGCATGGGGAGGTAGTCTTACTCTCATCCACACTTGTGAGATGAAGAATCTGAACAACAGAAAACTTAAGGAACTTGCCTGAGGAGCCACAGCCGGTGGGTGCCGGGGCCAAGATCCGCACCCAGGCAGGCTGGTTCCAGAGCTTATGCCCCGAACCACTGTCCAGTGCCGCCTTCCTTATTGTCAAAGGTAGCACTCTGGGGCATGTATTAGTAGGAACCTGCAGGGGAGAAAGGAATTCTGAGATGGGGGTCTGTTGTCCAAAGGCCAAAAGAGTTCTCGGCATTTTGCAGAGATGGCTAGGGTCAGATGAAGTGAGAACACAGAGGTTTCCCCATTGAGTTGGCAGTAAATGGGGATCAGTGCAGGAGGACCTTGGGTTCCATGAATAGGAGGTGGCACTTTCCCTGTGGGCGTGGGGCCGGAGGGAGGTAGAAGTGGAGGTGAGTAGCTATCAACACCTTTCAGATAGAGTGCCATTATGGGATGGGCCTGGAAGGCCTGATCCAGTTTTGTTTGTTCATTCATTTGTTCAAATGCCAGCTCAGTAACTAACGCTAAGTGTGGTCTTGGCCGAGTCTCTGATGCCCCACATACCTTGGGGGTCTCAGCTACAAAATGTAGAGTGTGATCCCTGCCTGTCCTACCCTACCAGGTGACTGTCCCCAGGGCTTTGTGGGTGGAAACATGGTCCAGGACAGTGGGCTGTTAAACAGGGCAATACTGAAGAACTGCTAGCCACTGCACCTTCCCAGCCACTTCCTTCCCCAGGGCCATTTCTTCTGCCCTCGGGAGGCAAGCTCAGCCGGCCCTGGGTCAGAGAGACGGAACCCCTGCATCAGTCAGCTCAGAGACTAGCCCAGCACCTCCTCTCAGGCCTCAAGGGGAGCCAGTCTCCTCCCCTCTGGAAGAAGAGCTTTAAGAGCAGTGCAGCACCAGGCTGCAGTTCCCTCTCCAAGCACATGGTAAGTGTTTCCTGACAGGCAGCCTGGGGCTGTGAGAGATCTGGGTTTGAGTCCCATCCCTAGCTTTTCATGGCTGTGTGATCTTGGGCGGTCAGTTAACCTCTCTGGGCCTCAGTTTCCATATCTATGAACTGAGTTAGCATCCAGGGTCAGGGTCAGGTGAATCTGGCAGCCACATCTGAGCTTCTGGCAGCAGTGAGCTGGAGACTCTGCAGGACTGTGACCCACAGAGGGCTCAGCAGCTCAGGGACCCGTCAGGAAATCCTCATAACTTTTGTGTTTCAGAGGAACTGGAAACCCAGAGTGTTAGGGGCAGAGGGGGATGGAACATTGAACGGGGAGCCTTGAACGGGAGGACACCTGGGTTTTCGTTTCATCTCTGCCACTGACTCGCTGTGGGTATGGGGAAGGACGCATGCCTCTCTGGATGTTAGTTTTCTCGTCAGTCAGATGAGACCTAATGATTACACCCAGGACTCAGCTTTGAAAAAGCACGGAGTAAGCTTCCCTGTTTCAGGGCAGTAGTCCCATTCTAAACAGGCAGCGTTTTCAGCAAGTGCTGCTGTCCCCTCAGATCCCCAGTGATCTAAGTAATGAACACCCAAGTTCCGTGCTGTGGACGCCCCTCCAGGAAAGCGTGTGCACTCTCTCTCTCTAGAGACCCTTTGTTCTGCCTCTTCCCTTGTCTGAATAGATCTGTACTTTTAGGAGATAATTGTCCACACTCTCTCTTTTTAAATAACTATTTCCTCTTAAATTATAAAATTGAAAATAAAAATCTCTCTTGATCCAGACACTGGGAAATCCCCACTGTGAACATTTTGATCTTTACCCTTTGTCTTTTTTTTCTCTGAATATATTTATCTATTTGTTTCTGGTGAGTCTTAAGGTATAGATCTGACTCTCTGAGAGCACAGTCCTAGCTTAGTGATGCCGGCTGGACTCCCAGGGGTGTTCTAGTGAGTGTGCCACACGGCCAGCCTCAGGCCCTGGGGAGGCAGCAAGAACCCATCCCTGGGCACCCCCGACAGGATCGGTTAGCGACTGCTAATGCTGGGCCATATGGACTATAGAAAGACTGAAAATTGCCCCCTGAAATGCAGGGAATAGAGGAAATAATAATAAAACATCATGCGTGCTACCCTCAATTAAGCACCAACTGTGTACCTGCTGTGTACCAGACACACTTCCCTTTGTATACCTTGTCATCTGCAGTATTCAGCAAATATTATTTGAGTGCCTACTACTATGTACCAGGCAGTCTTCCAGACTCTGTGCACATGGGCACAGAGCAAGATACATGAGGGTACATAAGGGTCCTACCCTCATGGGAGTAAATTGCATTAGGAAAAAGCACAATATGCAGACATTGTATACATATACAGATACACACACATACATATCCATGTATACATGTATGTGTGTGTGTACGCATGTCTAGTGCTGCGTGGAAAACTAGAGCAGTGCAGAGGTGGGTGATTAGGAAGAGTAGGGTGGGAGCTCTTATAGTCAGGGGGCAAAGGGAGGGAGTGATCTGTGCAGATATTCAGGGGAAGGTGATTCAGGCAAATGGCTTAGCCTGTTGGAGAAACAGCGCAGAGGCCAGTGTAAGTGCAGCAGCACAGAAAATGAGGTTGGGGAGGTCTCAGAGGGGAGATCTGCCAGAGCTTGTGGGCTCCAGTAAGGACGCTGGTTTTATTCCTCTGAAGCCATTGGACTGTCGAGGGTAGAGCAGTGGCATGATCTGGGGATGATACTTCAGCTTCTCTGAGGAGAGTGATTATCCCAGTGATGATCCCTGCTGGAGGGCCGGGGCATGATGGACCCGGACCCTCCTGACCCTGGGGCCGGTTTGCCTCATGCTGTGTCGCAAGGCCTGCCATCAGGAGGAATGAGGTCCCTCTGAGCGACGGGCACACCCTGCAGTGACTCCCAGGCTCTGGGGG